ATTCAGGACAAAAAATTCGACACAAAATACTGATATTTTACCGAAACCTATCCACTGGAAAAATATTAAATAAAAATATATCATCGCTTGGTAAATTACATTCATCATTGTCGTCTATTCCACATGGTTTACTTTATTCTCAAGTTGTAAATGTGAGCGACTCATTTTGAAGACTGTTTAATGAGTTGGGTATCTAAAAATTGCAATTTTACAAAACTAAACTAACTACAAGAGTCTGTATACACTATTATAAAGTAAACACGAAGTCAAAAACTTAAAAGCGTATCGCTATTTAGTTATTACACTTTGGAATTGCTTCATTACTAAACTATTTTGTCAAATTAAACACGAGACCACATTTAAACATTAAATTTGCTTACTTCAGTTTTGAGAATTTATACAATTTTTTCAAAAACTTTGGTTGGTTTTTTCCTAACTTTTGTGTGACACAACTTTACCATTTGAAGAAATAATAAATGTTGTTACAACAAATATATATACCCTACGTCGATACATCATTTACAACCTTTGATGTCCTATGTGTTAAGAGTGGAGTCTTTGCGCCATCACATTTGATCGTTTAAGACAGCCTTTACAGTATAAAATACAGTGATCGAGTATTTGTAACAAACTTTCAATCACTTCATTTGAACTTTGGTGGATAGTTGTCTCATTGGCGATCATACGAAATCTGCATATTTTTATATAAATACTTATTATGTTACATTTCTCGTTTTTAATATATATATCTTAAAAAATATCTGATTTTACAACGAAATAAAATCGAAATATTTCTTATGTGAAAGTTGTGCTGTGAAAATGAATTCTTCCAATTAAAACCGATTTAATGTACGGGTTGTTTCAGTATATTTGTAATTTTGTATATTTTGAGTATTGGCAGGTTTTCTTAGATTTGTAGTTTGGAATGCTCAAATAGTCTCAATCTGTCTAGATCTATAGCAATATAGTATAACTAAGTTTTGTTTAACCGACTCACCTACTTATTTATTATAATATAAAATAACTGCACCAGGAATGTTTCCCCTGTGTCTGATAACAGTTACCAGATACAAATGCTAGATAGCACTGGGTTTTAACTTTCTAGGGGCAACACTACAGGTGCCATTATTGTTACAGGAACAGAAAACCCTTATGGAGCAACTGATTTCACCAACGGATTTTCTTGGTTGTATGTTGCCCGGCACTTGTAAATCCATTTTCAACTGAATCGGTAATTTTAATCTGAACAGCTCTTAAAAAAGTAAACAATAAATAATTAAGTCATGTAATTAATCAGTCAATTTTCAAACCTACGCACTTTAGTAAATGTAGTACTGTTTGGACAATTTGCTTTCGTTCAATTAAGGCATATTCGAGCTATGTTCAGACTGTTCCGTATTCATTATTTACCTGTATAAAACAACAACGCACTGAAATGTCTGACAAGCCACTATATAATACTGATTTGACTGCAAGGAACATAAATGTTTTTAGTTTAATTCTTTTCGTGTGATTTAAAGATAAAAATTACCGTTTAAGAATAAAATTCATTTACTGGTGCAGTCTTTTGTTTTTTGTTTAATGTTGTATGGGTTGTTGTATGTTTATTTTATTTTTTCCGGCCATGATGTTTTTTTCGACTAAGGATTTTGACTGCCGCTTTAGCATCGTCTGCTATATCCCTCCTGAAAAATAGAGGCCAAAGATACCAAAGTGACATTCAAGCTCATAAGTCGAAAATAAACTGACAATGCCATGGCTAAAAAAAGAAAAAGACAAACAGTCAAACAACAGTACACAAAATACATAGAAAACTAAAGACTGAGCAAAACGAACCCCACATAAAACTGGGTGTGATCTCATGTGCTCCAGAAGGGTAATCAGATCCTTCTTTACGTGTGGCTACTACCTAGTTGCTCATGTAAGTGCAAACCCGGTGATAAGTGTAATTCGGTCGGTAACTTCGGGGGAAAGGGAGGGGATTGTAGTTACGACAATTGGAACATATCCGTCGTCATCTGTGAAACGGATATTCCATAACGGTCAACCAACTTGGAACTCTTGGTTTAATAGATTCCTTGTGATCAGCAACCCTCTATCAAGGACATCATGATAGGAAATACACGCCCTGGAATACCCTATCAGCTTGGAGATATATACTCCGTATGAAGGCGCTGCTGGAATGTTGCTACATAGAAATGGAACGTTCACAATTAGAAAGCTGGAATCATCTCTTTTGTCGTAAAGTTTTGTTTTCAACCGACCCTCATAATCAATTTCTAGATGTAAGTCAAGATATGAGGCAGATTTTACTGTATCTTTTGTTTCCTTTATTTCAAATTCGATGGGATATAAAGGAACAAGTCGGCAAAAAAGAGCACAGTTGGTGCCCATGGAAATGCCAATTGTTTGTTGAAAAACACGTAACCTCAACATAACAAATATGTTGTCAATCAAGAAATCAAGCATCTTGATAATGTCAGTTTCAAAGAATGTTTTGTTTGAATCAGAATGATTTTTTACAAAGTAAGATTTATCCATCCCTAATACAAGATACTTATTATGTTGGCCATTATTTTTTATGAAACTAAACAAGACCAACGCTTTCAATCTGTCTTATAATTTTGAATAGGTAATACTTGTTGTTTGGGGCTTTATCTGCGGGATCAACAACATATTTGTCTTGGGGGTAGAGCAGTTGTTTTGAAACATTTGGGTCTTTAAAGAATGATATAGCATGAGTATTTATAGACCCATTCAGTTTTTTTTTTAATTCTGATCTGTATCAACAACCTCACAGTCATAATCCATTGGAAAATAGTATCTACGTGTTTTTCTTGCGTTAAACCCATTGCCTGACATAACCCTAGACTGATTCTATCAGTATTTTGAAGTTGTGTTTCCAATTGATGGAGATAGACTCACGATATTTCTGGCATTTGCATAACACATTTCGCGGAGAAGTAGTATTGACAATGTTTAGGTCACCAGTAATAACGTGGCCAGCCGGATTATATGAGAAGGGGGAATTAGCACAGGTACAGTCAGGAGGTTTTGACTTGAAGTCAAGATTCTTTAGATCCTGAAAAAACGTATTTTTAATTGAAAATGTAAGTTGAAATTGGTTTGGGGTAGGTATAAGAAATGGTACAGACTGGTCTTTTAAATAGGGAGATATTTTTTGGAGTGAACTGATTTATGTTAAAGGATGTTGCCGAAGTTGATGGCATCGATATCATTGATGGCAAAGGAAAGTTTTAGAAAGAATATTTTCTCCTTTTTATCATTTTCAATGCGAACTAGTTTGAACAGTTTGTGACTAGCAATATCTGAGATGATAGCTGAAAATTTGTATTGGTTTGAATTGGGGTTTGTAACAATGGTTTTCAAACATAAGTTGTAGAAATAATGAAGTATTGATAGGGATAACGCATAAAGTTTCGTCCAAATGAAATGAATACCCAACAACTGAAGCTAAAACTGACAATAAATTGAAAAATACTCTAACGTCAATGTCCCGTAAATGTCTCAATATTAGTTTGTCTTTCGGCAACAATATCCCTGTATATTCTACCTAAAAATATCGTGCATATAGTGACTGACTGTTTTATAGTACTTTAGTCATCTACATTTTCTAGAATACACTAAACCTCTCGTGTTTTGAAACAATTTATCAATACACAACTTTCCCATTAAACCTACGTACTTCAGATGACAGTATAGATCTAATGAAGACAAATGAAATTTTGCAAAAACCATTTATATAGCTATATCTTGCTGAAAAAACCTTATTGATGTAAAACTTGAATAAGAGTGCCTTAGGGGAAACCATGATGAATCGACACAACACACAATTCAACATTTGTTCAAAACAATTATCGAATTCAAAACAGATTTTCTGATGTTCAATATTTTGAAATATGAAAGGTTATAAGAAGATTGTCATATATGTTATGAAATACTATCCTTACAAGGAGACACGGGACAAATGGATAAATAGGACCTTCAAATTGTTCAGCAAAATACAAGTTTATCAACGCAATATGTTATACTATCACTACTTTTTACATATTCTACAAATGCAGATCAGGAACGGAACATCGAAAGTCCAAAAACATGAAAACACAGGATATAATTTCATGCGTTCGAAGTGATTTTCTGGATTTACTTCCATTAAGAACGCTCAAAGCCGAATGTTTGAAGGCCAAGGGTGTATAAGAAACAGCTGAAGAGCTATATGACCAAATAGCAAATATTCGTCTAAGGTCAACTTTGCCTGAGGGAGTTGAAACCTTAGTTTCTTTATAAATTTAAAATCAAATAGGTGAATATAGTAAAGTGTTTACATTTGTATATGTATAATCTATCGATAAAAAGGATTTAACAAATAAATTTTAGGGTACAAACTTTTGGAAAAATAATGATAAAGCCTTTGTTTTTTTTCTTTAAGAACTAGGTCTGTTTTTTTCTTATGGCACACAATCTTTTCCGTTAACCCTTCAGAGACCTTGGGTTTTTAGCATGACAACAATCGCACTGCAGGTATCAATATATTTAATGTATTGTATAGTAGTAAGGTCTTTTTGAAGAAATGTATAAATGTGATCAGTCGGCAAACTCATTCAAACATTGAATAGAATTCCAAGTATGTTATGATTAGTTTATGATTGAGTTAACACATGAATTGATTTCGTAAAAACAAGCTGTATTTTTCATTAATCCAATATAATTGTCTTAAGAATTTATCTCAAATGAATATAAATGAATAGCTACAAAATTATTTTGGATTCCTAAATATTAACTCTCGCAACGTCACTAAAAGGAATCAAATGATGAGTATTTTCTTTTAATTTTAATGGCGATCACCAATAGAAATCAGGCTAACATCTACTTATTTCATTTATTATATGGTGATATACATCTTCGTTTATATCTATCTACATATGAAGAAATAACTTGGGCCTTTCATCACTTGGTCTGTAACGAGTTTGATACGTAAATTATCATGACGTCTTTATTCATACTATCTATATGCTATAAATTTGTCATTTACATATCAAAGGTTATTGCGTTACCTCGGCTTCCTTTGTTTTACTGAAAAAATAAAACTGACTCCTCTTGAAAACCCTAATCCGTAGGCAAAACGGTACCTTTTTTCAAATGAGTCATCACTGAAACAGTTGCCAATGTCTTTTCAATTTCGTAAGGCATGTTTATTCTGAATATTTATTATTGCAATCGAAAAGCAACATTTCTCAATCCAAGATACTAAGTAACTCGTATGAACGATACTGAATAAAACAGAAATACCAATTCGAGTGTAGAGATATTTCTTATTTACATCACCGTTCAAAAATAAAAACAATTCTACAGGTTTACACGGCAGATTCTTACTTAAACCTCTAAAATGTTTGAGGTTCCCTTCTAAACAACGATTTGTCATTCATTGTCGTAGTTTTATTTTGATTTCAATTGAAATGCTTTAATTCATCTGCACCGAACATTTAAATGTTTTTGCGATATATTGTTTCTCTGCACCTTTTATTTTCACAATGACAAACAACTGTAATAAATCATGTATTTATAGCAAAAAAGTAATTTCAGATTATTTAGAAAATAGGTATGTCTACATAATAATTAGGGATAACACGGATATAAAAACACTAGAAAAAATGATGGTGCAAACATAAAAAAAGTAAACTAACAAAAATACCGAACTCCAAGAAAAATTCAAAACTAAATGTTCCTTATCAAATGGCAAAATCAAAAGCTCAAACACATCAAACGAATGGGAAAAACTGTCATGTAAGAAAGGAATTTTGTTATTGTTGACAAAACCAAAAAGTCGAACAAATAATTTAATAGTACTGAAACATAAAGTTCTTCTTTCATGCTAAATGTCACGTTATCTGGTTGGCGAGCTTATGGAAGAAGTATTTTGTGTCAATTTACTGCAATAATAGTTTTATGATACAAACGGTCTTATTTTAGTGTTGCGTATCTGCCGTCGCCTACGTAAGATTTCTAGCAACAAAAACGTTGATATAACAGCAATGACTGCAAATATGGCTGTGCATAAGGATACTATCACAGCTATTAAATATGTGTTTAGAACACTATCATCGTCCGGTATCTCCTCGTACATAAACGGGAATATCAAACGGTTGTTAATTTGTTGAACTGCAGTAGTCTCGTTTTGAGTTGAAGTGTTTGACGTTAAATAGGACAATGATCCAAGTTTTGGCACAGATTGAGCAGATTGGTTTATCAGTGTGTTATTTTGTGACTGTATAATCGTGGAATAAGAAACGGTTACGTTTTCAATATAAGCACCAGAAACGTTGTTTATAGAATGTGTTGAAGATAAATTGTCATTTGGCACAGAAGTTTTCTCAACTAAGGTGTTTGTCGAAACGCTAGTTTCCTCGTTAAAATTAGGTGTTTGCGAAAAAACGAATATGTCGCAATTTGTCTTGTCTAAACTTGTTGACTGGTAATATCTACCATGGCTCAAATTCACATAGTAAAAAATAATGTGTACAGAACTATTTTCTGATAGTAAGAAATAGATGCCATCCGAAATAACACTGATTTCAAAACTGGCAGTCGTTTTATTTTGATCTACATCTGATGTATTGAATGTTTGAACGGTTTTCCCTTCCATATTATATAGACTGATACTGTGGATGCCATTTTCGGTTACAAGGTAACCACAAACGTTGTTGGTGCAATTGAAAATCGTCACATATAGACAATTATTAAATTGTTCTGCTGGGAAAACACTTAAGATATTCGTTGCTGTACGATTCGTGTCTGTTGTTAGGTTCAAAGTGCTGAAAACTGACACATGTGTCGAAGAAGTCATGTGAACGTCACGTGCATGAGAAACATTTATCATTTTACGTTCAAAAGCTTTTAAGTTAATTGTCTTCAGTCCATCCGGCAAATGCAGCTTTAATAGGCCATCTTCATACCCTATAAGTAGAAAACAGAGTTTGTTACCTTTCGAAGTGTCATATTCAAATGCATTAACGTTTGCCATTTACTAAATTATCCAACTGCATATAGATTTCTATTTTGATGCCATATTTTTGTCTTTCAATTGCTTTTAAATTATACCGTGACAGAAAAACATTTTAATTTCATGGAAATGTAGCTATCGAGTTTTTAATGCATGTGTACCAAACAATGTTTTTGTATGTAGTAAGAAGTATTAAAGAGTTATTTCAGTTGCAATCTTAAATTGTTTGGATGTCATTGTATTACTTTCTAGCGAGATTTGACATAATTGGAAGTTTCTGATTCTATTGAAAATAGAGTTTTAAATTAAGTGACATCGACATTATATGAGGCTCGTTGTATCCTTCCTTTTGACGGGTAGTTACTTTCTATCGTTTTATTTAAATGCTACTGGTGAAATTAAAAAGGGTCTTTTGCGTATTGTTTGTTTAAAAAAGGAAAGACAATTTCACAAAATTTACTGGAATACTTTGAATGTAGTGTCCATAGGAAATACTTCTATTAAATCTCGATTATTGCCTTGAGAAAAATATTTGTATTGGCAACACACATTTTGGTCCGTCATTTGCAAATATATGAATTGAATATTAACCCCGTTTTTATCGAATCGCCATTTAGGAGTTTTTTAATGGTCAACAACATGAAAAAGGTGGTAGTGCATTGTTTAATGATAGACTTACATCTGCAAACAAAATAACAGAAAACAGCAGAAGAAATACTTCATTCAAATCCTATATATCGTGGAAAACAAACTATGACCAACTCAAACATAACGAATAGACAAAACCACATAACACTACACAGAAAAACTCAAAATTGAGTAACACAAACTCAATCAAAAACCGGGGATGAACGCAGGTTCTCTAATAGGGTAAGCATTCTCTGCTAGACTTGTGCCATCCGTCGTGTTGGTCATTATAAATAAAAAATCAAGTGATATGTCGCATTCGTTGATGTACGAATCTACAAAAAGAGGATTAAATTTGGCTACGACAATTTGACAATATTTGTGACATAAATATACAAAATCATGATGGCGTCCACAAAATCTCAGACCAGATGGATTCAACTTCATTATGAAATCTTGGTTTACAAGCTTTATGAAGCAACAAACGTCTAGCAAACACATCAGGATGGAAAACAAGAGCTCAGAATCAATTGGGGGATATATAATCTATATGCAGGTACTTCTGGAATGTAGCTACATAGAAATGGAATGTTAACAATAAGAAATTGTAATCATCTGTTTTGTCGTATTGTTAAGTTCTAAAGCCACCCTCATTGCCAATTTTCAGTTGTAAGTCATATCACAAAGCAGACTTGAAGGTACCTGTTGCATCTTTTTTTTCAAACACATTGTGATAGATACGACCAAACGTTGAATTGTTGGTGAGAGGATACAGTTTATACACCGGAATGCGATTTAAAAGTAACCCATGCTAGCTAATTTTCTTTCTTTTGTAAGAGCCTATGTTTGAAAACCGCCTTCTACGAAAAATAGTGCTAGTTAACAAGAAAAGAACACATTTGGTTTGAATAGGAATTCTGAATATCTGAAATTCAGTATAGCTCATGAACTGGTTGTTTTTTCGGCATACCGAGTTTGATAACTTACATTGGTTAATTTTCCATTGTAGAAACAAGTTTCATCGTAATCTTTAACAAGAAATGAAAGAAAGGTTTGTTTGTTGTGGAAAACATCGGATACTCAGAGTATATTATATCAATAATGGGAAACTTATTTAGTGCAATTGTCCATGGCAAAAACTTAGTTATTCTGAAGACTGAAATTTATTATTTCAACAAATAAGCCCATCGCCACGGTGCAATATGTTGTGTTGTGTTGTATTGTTTATTTTCGGGTCGTGTGGTCTATAAATGACTCACCTAAAACTTCCAAGAAGGCACTTTCTACATTAGGTATATGCATCATAAATTCCTTTCCATTCTTCTCCATAGGAGGAATCATTTCCCAAACAATATCGTCATTTTGATCACAGACAATGTTTCTGGTTATATCTACGTTACTATAAATAATTCCGATTCTGCCCGATGCATTTATCTGATAAACATCGGACGAATTTGGATCAAAAGTTATAGTATTTCCGACATCAAGTCTATGAGCTTCAATCACTGTGTTATTTATGCTACTGATAGTCACGCTAGTATTAGCCTCAGTACCATAAACTGTCACAAAATAATCTTTGTCACTGTAAACTATATAATTCCTTCCTAACGAATTTGAATCAAGTAGATGTAGTACATCACCGTACTCGCACCGAATCTTTGCCGATACTGTGTCATTGACATTCCATGTAAAAACTGAAATAAAAAGTAATGTAAATGTAAAGGAATACAGAAATAATGTGAATGTGAAGAAATTAAATAAATAATGTAAGTGTGAAGGAATAACAGAATTAATGTAAATGTGATGGAATTACAGAATTAATGTAAATATGAAGGAATTACAGAATTAATGTAAATGTGAAGGAATTGCAGAAATAATGTAAATGTGAAGGAATTACAGAAATAATGTAAATGTGAAGGAATTACAGAAATAATGTAAATGTGAAGGAATTGCAGAAATAATGTAAATGTGAAGGAATTACAGAATTAATGTAAATGTGAAGGAATTGCAGAAATAATGTAAATGTGAAGGAATTACAGAAATAATGTAAATGTGAAGGAATTGCAGAAATAATGTAAATGTGAAGGAATTACAGAAATAATGTAAATGAGAAGGAATTACAGAAATATCTTTACGTAAAGCTGTTGATAAGTAGCTTCACTCTGTCTGGTTCAAAGCTTTCAGTAATTACAAGTACAAGTTATACCTTCAAAGGACACAATTCACATTGAGTAACCATCCATACTAGATCAACATACAAGTTTAAAAGGTTTAAACCACCATTTTCTTGGGAAAATGCCTGTACTAAGTCAGGAATATAACAATTGTTTCCCATTCGATCTGTTGATAAACGTTCGATTTTGTCAGTTTTTATGGACTTCCCCTTTTTGAATTTACCTTTGAGTTTAATATTGCTTTTAATACTATTTTAAATACAAAACCATAAGTTCTTTAACTTATAATAACATTAAGAAATAACAAGATAACCCATGAAGGAGTTTCTGACCCGAAACAGACACAACATGCACCTTACAGCGGGGTTTCACCAATATTTTTGGATCTCAAGTTATCGCTTTTACGAAATTGAATGTACAAAAGCAACGAATTGAAATCGCGGTTATTTTGTGATTTGATGAGTTTAATGAAAATATGTGATACCGTTAACTTAAACGTTTTATATCCGATATTATCTTTTAGCCACAGATTGGCAAAAGTCCTTTCAATTCAGCCCACGGAACGGAAAGTGCTATGTTATTTTTTAAAAGCGTTGTTTTATTGTCTCATTAAAAGCTATACCCATCCAATAAACGTTCACAAAAAGATGACGATTTGGGGAATTTGGTATACTCTGAGTATTAACTCATTTTTAATGTCTATAGATATAAGTAGATGTGGTATGAGTGCCGATAAGACAACTCTCCATCCAAGTCAACATTTATAAAAGTAAACCAATATAGGTCAAAGTACGGTCTTCAACCCGGAGCCTTCGCTCACACCGAACAGCAAGCTATAAAGGGCCCCAACTTATTACTAATGTTAAACCATTCAAACGGGAAAACCAACGGTCTAATCTATATAAAAAACGAGAAACGAGAAACACTTATGAACCACATCAACAAACGACAACTACTGAACATCAGATTCCTGACTTAGGACAGGTGCAAACAATTGCAGCGGGTTTAAACGTTTTAATGGTACCAAACCTTCACCCTTCTCTGAAACAATAGTGTTACATCACAACATAGAAAGACACACTATAAAATATCAATTGAAATGGCTTAACTCAATCAAAAGACATATTAACACCAGTGAACATACACTGAACAAATAAATTTGATCTATGATACAATGTAAATACAAAATAAATAAACTAAGGGAAGAATAATTAAAGTAACATGTTATACCGCTGTGAAATGTTAAACAATTTAAGAAAAACAATATGCTTGAACCAAAATATCAGCCATTTGCAATTACTTTAAACACAGGTAAATGAAAATAATTTTGTTGTTAGGTATACGTGTACAGTTCAAATGGAGAAAGGAAATATTTTTACAAGATAAATAATTTTGATGTTCATAGTACGAAGAAGTGAAATTTTTTACAACTGCTCCTACCAGAAAATAGAGTACTACCTTTCGAATTGTTCTAGCTATTTTTCAAGTGATTTCAGAAGCAGAAAACGCAGTTTAATGAAATCAGTGCATGTGTCCGCTGTAATTGAACTTTTTTTTATTCAAAGGACGATGTGTTTTGTTTTGAATGAAAACAACGTCCATTGATTATAAATAAATGTCAATTTACCGGAATAAAAAAGTCATTTATCTGAATCTCTGTGGGAATTAGTTTGTATCCTTTCTGGTTTTGGCTTTCGACTGCAAATACGTGTCTTCTAGATCGTATAATTATGTTGAAGACAATACCGTATAATTTTCCAACCTTCACGTATTCAAACATGATTTAATTATAATTGATACAGCAGTCTAACCAGTCATTTTAATGGATAATTTATACCCCACAAAAAAAGATTTTCATTTAATTGGGTTCTGATAGATTAATTGATGTTGGTCTTTCGACCACTGACTATTAAGGTTCATTTGGGAAACGATCTAATTATTTCGTAGTAACAGGCTATTAAATATCTAATGAATTATTAGCATGATTAGAGAAAAAGCTTGTTCGTGCAAAGAAATAACTTATTCGTTAATTTATTGTTATCTATTTGTTTTTTTGTTTTCTTCTTTTTTTGGCCTTTGGAGTATACGGGACATGATTAAAAATTAAGGAAGTTGAACACAAATTTCATTTTCATGTGCATTGATAAGTATAGATTATTATATGGCATTTTCCATATCAGATCCTTTATCGGACCTAGGTCATGATATCAGCCCAAGAGCCAACAGGCTCGAGGGATGATATCATGAACGAGGGCCGATGAAGATTTTGATATGAAAAATGATATGTAATGATCTTTTTATCATATACCTCGGCAGAAGAAATACATACAAGAACTAATTTTTAAACTTTGAAAAAATGCATGTTATTTTATCGTTTGTTTTGCATTACTCAAAATATATTTTCCTGTTTCCTAATATTTGTTTTTTTTTTTTCTATCCTAATTTGTTAAGTTTTTTCACTCAAAACGTACCATTGAGGTGTATTTTCCGGAATTTTTCGAGTGACGTCGAATTGCCATCGAAATTTAATGCTATAATCATACTAAAAAAATTATAAGGTATTTGCTCTAAGTATATGATAATGAAATTGAGAATGGAAATGGGAAATATATCAAAGAGACAACAACCCGACCATAGAGCAGACAACAGCCGAATGCCACCAATGGGTCTTCAATGCAGCGAGAAACTCTCGCACCCGGAGGCGTCCTTCAGCTAGTATAGATTATTACATGTCATTTTTCATATCAGACCCTTTATCGGCCTTAGGTCATGATATCAGCCCAAGAGCAGTAACCTCAATTTATAAATACATAGCATATAACAATGTTTATCACATATTTGTTACGATAAAATTGGGTTTTGCATATGTAATAACCGCAAAATTGTCCTACTCATTGCTGCCCGAAGCAAAAAAGTGGTTATTGGTTATTGTGCCCCGATTCCAAATGACGTGACGTCATTGCGTCCTTAACGACAATGGCAAACAATTACGGTGTTTGTATTGAAAATAATTATAATTCTGCTACCATGTCCACTTGTAACAATGTCCAACCAACTATTATCTATTTAGCCCCAGTTATGCCAAATTCTCGCTTTTGTGTACAACCATAATCAAAAATAAGGGGAAATGTTACGAAAAATGTGTTTGCAGTAAATGATAAAAATTAATATAAAATGTTATAAATCTTTTTTAGATTTTACCTGTTATTGTTAATTAAATAGTTTTTTCTCTTATCTGCAGAACTTACATATGTGATAAATAGATTATAACATGTCTTTTCCATATTGGCCCTGGTATCATCCCTCGACCCATATCGACACTCGGCTAAAGCCTCGGGCTGATATGGGAGTCTCGGGATGATACCAGGGCCAATATGGAAAAGGGCATGTTATAATCTATAAATATTAGAATAATACCTCTTAGCTTACTAATACTAAGATATTTTGAGCTTTTTTATTGGATAGACCGAGCGACGGCTTAACCGCAGGGCTTTAATTATACCTACAGTTTAGCACAACATTATGATAATTTCATGGTTGCACAAAAAGTTTAAATTGCTCCCCTCAAGGAATTTACAATCAAGCTGTATATACAAAGTGTATGTTTGAGGCATCATAAATCCTAAACTCAAGCAAAATCAATAAACACTATGTTCTAAAGATGGAGAAAGATTTAAGAGAAAAATTACCTTTCACTTTTTTACATTAGCATTCATGTGCCGGGGAAACGCGACATTTCCCGTTAGAAAATTCATAAATGACTGATTGTTACTGAATTTTTTTATTCAGGAAAAATGAACAACATCCGGTTAATAATAGCTAGGATAATTCATAATACATTGTTGGTTAACCATTGCCCCGTGAAATCAGCATTATATGGCATAATGTCAATTCTTTCATCTATCGCTTCTCTATTGAATAATCATGTAGAAATGATTTAAATGAGACATTAAAAGTTCTAAATTTAATCACTCGAAGACGTTGATGTAGATGTGTCTGTAAATGGTAATTTCTGTGCAAAACAAATGTTAAATATTAAAAATAAAGCATTTGTAATCGATTTTGTTTTTTCTTTATTTCAATCTAATGGGTCAGCTTTAAACTTAAAATGTTGGATCTCAAATGCCAAGTAGAATATGGTAAAGAAAAGTGAAACAAGCACACTATGCTACTTAGTTCACAAAAAAAGTACGAGGTGCTGAATTTAATCTTAAATTCATTAAGGGGTATAATTAAACATAACCTAGTATATGTTTCGAAAAAAAAAACATAGACTTAAAACAACTGAAGGTTTGGTAAATTTGTCTGTAAAAAGACAAAACGCCATCGAGATTTTTTGATACAACTTGATTTTGAATATACGAATATTTTATCTTATCAATTTCCTCCTGGAAATTACATAGGGACAAAACACGATTTTAGCAATTATAAGGGGAGCCGAGACTCCCTTTACCCCTCTACAATGTGCTATTGCATGATGACAATACATTAGGTTTGGAGTTTTTTTTCAAGCGTATAATGGCGTGAGGAGCAGGTATTGAATCATGGTTCGTTCAAAGCACCGGAATTCACCCGGGTTTAAGGGATGGGTTTTCTTTCTAAATCGTATGTTTTTTGTTTAGTGTGTTATTAACTATTGTTGTTCGCCTTTTTTCTTTTGATCATAATATACTCCCTTTTTTGAAAGACTATCTTTTTCTTAAGTTTCTTGATATGCAAACTAAGGACATTTTATTTTTATTGGTTCGTTTTTTTAAACATCTCAGTGAACATACAAAAAAGAATCAGTTTTCTAAAATTTCCCTTTATCTCTAATGACAGAGCATGTGCAATACAATTTACAAAGCTTCATAGCAACTGTTGCGTAAATAAAATCTTTAAACGTACGACTTTCTACTTTTAAGATGATTAAAGATCATAGCTAACATTATTTCTACAAACCTTTTGAAGCATTGAAACCTAGATACTGTTTCAAAGGCATAACAAATGGTGTTTTGTCTAAGATATTATCGTAGGATTCGTTGTAATTAGTTGTCATGGTAGCGTATAAAGCTGTTCTCGAGAAAGACATCATGTTGAATTCAATTACCATATCACAATCTTCACTGCCATCTGAGTACATAGGAAATATAAACTTGTCATTCAAATTGTTGCTCTGGCCTGTTAATAGAAAAATGAAAATATGTCAGATTCCAATGGAGGGCTTTTCCAATCTGAGTTAGAATTTGATAACATTTGTGTAAAATCTTTCTGACATTTTATTGTTTTAAACATTTTTATTTTTCTATTCATAATTGAATGATTAAGACATTGACAACAGTCACTGTTATTTTCTAAAAAAAGTGACAATGGCTGGTGTAACCACGCCAATAGAAATACAATTCAAAAAGATAACTTTTTAGACTTCGTAAGAGTCATCGGCACATCAACTAAAGGAGAGGAAAATTAACTATAATGAAAGAATAGAGTGTAACTTTCAAATTTTAAATATCTGGGGTGTATAAATATCGTGATACAATTTTTTTAACATGGTGTTGAGGTAAAATTGATATATCTCGGGTATTATTACAACTTTAAATCAAGGGATGTTTTATTGTGCTCAATGAAATTTAGTCATATCACTTAAATACAAGTCCTCTATAACAGGGAGTTCCTATGTCCTTCATGAAACATCGTTGATTTGAAAAAAAAACTTTATTAAATTCGTTTATTTCTTTTAAAGTTCAATCAATTTTTCCATTTTTCTTTCAGAAACGAAACCGTACATACATGTAGCTCAAAAGATAAATTGCCACCGAACATACATCACACGACAATTTCATTAAATGCGAAAATTATGTTTAATTCGATTATGTGCATAATTATACCACTATATATACTTCTATCAATGGTAACACATTTATCAGCAAAGGAGCAAAGCTTATCCGAGGCTTCGAGTACCAAAGACATTTGAATACTACAAAATTAACTATTCCAAGTAAATGCTTTTATCATAAGCCATATTTTTATGACTGATACTAAAAGAAGAAGTCATTTGAAGACATTCGCATATTGACTGTCTAATTGTATAGATCTAGATTTATAAGTCTTTTGTGTAATTGAAGAAGCTGGTGCTAAGCTAGAATACAATTGGTGTTTAGTTGCAGCTATAAAGAAATCTTTATTGAGCATATACATCGTTAATGTTTTCCAGCAAGATAAAAAACGCAAAATCCAATTATCGCGTCTTAAATATGCAGTTTAGTACTTATGTCCTTGTCGATTCTTGCAAACAAAAAATGCAATCTCAAAGTATTTGTTTCACTTTTTTAACTGAATAACTTTTTTTGGGAAGATTTTTTTTCTTAAGTTATATTCATATTAATATGATAATCGTTATTGTTATTTTAGTTAGCGTAATTTATTCGTTTGCTGAAAAAAAGCATTCGAAGATTTTTATTTACTTTCTATGGTGTGTTTTACGAGAGTGCAAGAGAGTGCACGAGAAGCTGCACGCTGTACGTACGATACAAGTTCTATTTTATTTTTATAAAAATCATAATATTGTATAATATATTATGATAATATTGACAAATACAAAAATAAGAAGATGCGGTAAGATTGCCAATGAGACAACTCTCCACAAGAGACCAAATGACACAGAAATTAACAACTATAGGTCACCGTACGGCCTTCAACAATGGTTAAAACCCATACCGCATAGTCCGTTATAAAAGGCCCCGAAATGACAAATGTAAAACGATTCAAACGAGAAAACTAACGGCCTGATTTATGTACAAAATAATGAACGAAAAACAACTGTAATATACAGCAACAAACGACAACCACTGAATTGCAGGCTCCTGACTTGGGACAGGCACATGAAGAATGAATAAATTTAAAGACTATAATGTAGTATGTGGTTTCAACATTATTACATCAATGACCAAAATATAACAGTATACATTGTTTTAAGTGAATTCCAGAAGTGAAATTTAATATATACGAATGTCCCATTCATTATGTCGTTGTTAATCCAATTTAATATCTTGTAACATGATGATCCGTACTTCTGCTCAATTATAAATAAATCAAATTACTTGATTTCTAGTTCTCTTGTTACATCGTCAATAAGGTATTTATAAATTAATCAAAATGTGTTCTTCAACTATCAATCAAAACTATACATTCTTTCTCTATCTTATAATTTAAAAGTCAAATATGGTTCTATTGATTGGTTACCACGGAAACGTGTGTTGATTATTGTAAATATATATAGAAATGGTTAACTTAATGAAGCAATCAATAAAACCAAAATATATTTACATGCCAAGTGACTTTTTTCTCAAATAAAATTACGGCTTAAAATGATCAAAGCTGACTTCTCGGCTAACAATCTCGTTATAGAAGTGGTATTACAGATAATCCGCCTTATTAGTCCATGAACAGGAAATTAAAGTACTGTAGCATACAATTTGACTAATAACAGCACAGATACATGTATTTAACTGCTGCTCATTGCCCTTACATCATTCATTGCGTAAGTGTAAATAGTGATGTATTACGATGTGTTTACTGCAAAATAAATTGATTATGTTTTTCTCCATCACTACTCTATGTTGTATTTGGTCTCTTATGGTAATTACGTTGTTACTGATTAGATCCTAGTGTTTCATTACTGTATTGTTCGTGGGAGGAGGTACGTCTCCATCTCACATTACCCTATGGATGTTTAACCTTTTGCACTGGTCTTTCGGGGGTTTCTCGATATTGTATTTTATAATAGATGTGTGACATTTTGTGCTGATCTTTCGGAGTATTACATACTAAAGCATGTTTAACCTTTTGTTCTGGTTTATTCCACACCTTTTATTGTTTAATGGATGTTTAATATTTTGATTTCTTTGTTACGGAAGGCAAGAGACACGGATACCCTTTGTCTGCCGACAAAAGCAATTCGTCATGTAGGATCAAAGTTAATATTTGAAGGGCATACTGCTATTGGGCACTCAAGATCCGTCTAAAAATTAAGTCACTGATTTAGATGGAGTAGAAAATATAAGTGTTATTAAATGAACGAATTGAGAAGAGAATCAACAATAGACGGACGGACGGACGGACACAATGAGCATTAGACCCCCGCTGCGCGTTAAGAGAGTTTAATTACACCAATCGTCGGTTGCTAAGATTAATCCTACTTAATTGATCGTCTTTCAATAATTTTGAAATGAATTTCACGTGGTTGCTTGTTATAACTAATAAGTATACTTCAAACTAAACACGTAATTACACATGAATTTAGAAACTCCTTAAGACAAAAACAGAAAAAGAAGTAATGTTTTCATTGATAAATCAATACTTTAGTACTGGTTTAAATGATAGCGTACTTAATAGTACCATGTTTATGTTTAATTCATACTTCACTAATGAAATCAACTCAATAATATTCTCGGTTCTAAAATGTGTCATGCTACTCATTTGAATCGGTAGATCTAGTACACGTAGGTGATCATAGTTTTGGTTCGACCTCATACAAAACCTAAACAGATGATATTCTTTGTTCTGTCAGACTTTTTTTGTTGCTGAAAAGTTTTTGTTTACAAGAAAACTGCTGAACTATGCGCACTTATATGATATTTATATTTAAGTCATGTCTTCGAAAGATATACGAATATTCATGGCTTATTTGACCGTGACAAAATATGGTGACCAAAGTTATCAGTATGTGAGATGTATCAGGGCAACCTTCTTGTTCGCCCATATGCAAATCCACCAAGTACTACAATGACATGAGTTTTATTTTGCACGACACAAATGGCAGACAACACCAGTAAAAATGGATTATTGGTGATTCTACCGGGGCAGCTGAGTTAGAAATTCAAACTCCATGTTTTATTGAGATTTGTGTTTCTCAATCATTAGTTTTCTAACTATTGTTTTTTATTTTTGTCAGCTGATTTTTTTTTAGATTTTAATCGGCATATTGTATTAAAGACAGGGTTTGCGCTAGTCAAATTGATTATATAGTGCATGTGCTTACAATCGTGTTAGGTTCTTTACAAATAGAATAAAATGTACACATACCTTTTGTGAAATTTGCAAGCAAGACCAGTGCAATAAAGCTTAGTCCCATAGACAGTACCAAACGCTCATTCGAATTTACTGAAATAAATATAAATAATTAGTAATCATACTATAAAAGTCTTAATTAGATGTCTTTCTGCTTTGTACCGATCTGATGAGTTAAGCCCTTTTCAAATGTTTTTTTTATAGTTTTTTCTTATGTTATACTGTTACACCACTGTCCCAGGTTAGGGGCGGGTTATCGCCTTCAAACTAGTTTAACCCCGCCACATTCTGTATGAGCCTGCACAAAGTCAGGAGTCTGTAATTCAGTGCTTGTCGTTTGAAAAAAACTGAAATTGGGTATGGCATAATCAAAATATATTAGCAAGATTGATTCCGTTTGAATTGTTTTGCTATATTCCGGATATACACCATTTAGGCGAAGCAAAATACAAAAAACAAAAACAGAAGCAGAAGCATAAAAAAAACGTCTAGCGTTCAACAGTTTAACAAGTTTCTATACAATATATCAAGCACTAAATCACCCTGAGCCATGTGGAGGGGTTGAACTAATTTTTGAGATATCAACCCTTCATTGAATTCCTATCATTTGAATTAAAACCTTTCCTTTAACTAAATGGAATATGTCAATTCTTGGTTTGTTTTATATGATATCTTTTAAACGCAAAAGCACAGTTTGTCTTACTACAAAACATTCTTGTTGTTTTTAGGTTTGTTTGGTCCTCTTCAATCTATTATTCTGACTTTTGATTATGTAAACTGAATATAACAGGAAGTTTCATACATGACAAAAGTATTTTTTTCAATAGTTCGTTGTAGCTTTCCTCGTCCTGTTTTAGAAATTAACAAAACAGGTACGCCTAGTGCAAGTAAAGTGCTTTTATTCATTTAGCAAATATAGATAGAGTAATCGTATTTAAATAATTGTACTTGATCACATTTTAAACAAGATGATACGGTAAACTGGAAATTAATATATACTTATTTTGTGTTATTGCATTTTATTTGCACTATATTTGGATTTGAATCACTCTTGATTTGCGTGTCAGGTGTAATAAAGCGCTAAGAAGTAGGTTAAATAAGTTCGCTTGCAGAGAGATTTAAGCTATTGCTTTGTGATAAAAGCATCACTGGTTCTTAAAGATGACAAATAGTAATAATAGCGTTTTTCCTTTGATTGGGGCTTTCTCAACTAAGTTGAGATTTTGAATCAAAAATCTTTACACCATATTCTTCTATTTCGTAAATGTAATAATGGTCAAAGGCTGAAAATATCAAGTGTATTGCAGACATGTAATAATACATAAAACAAAAACATTTTGTTTCGTCTTGTGTTGTTGACTAACTGCCTGTACATTCATTACCTCTGACAAAAAAAGCTGCATGAAAATTAATGCCCACTTATTCAATGCTATACTGAACAACAAAAAAATTAATGTGCCAAAGTCATAAGATAAAAGATCACAATAAAACATACATGTACAATTGGGGTCAGTTCTTATAAATAATCAGGCGTTGTGGTAAGATTGCCAATGAGACAAATATCCGCCAGAGACATACCTGTCAACTGACCCGGATCCTGCGGGTGTGACCCGAGATTTTAACAATTCTGAGGGGTCACCCGGAACACCCGCCGGGTGACCAAATAACCCGGGAATTCGGAAAATAACCCGTTTTCACCCGGATTCCTTAGCCTTCAGACTGATTAGATATAAAGTGATTTTAATGAAGTACCGGCAAATTCGTAATTCTTCCTGGATAAGAAGTTCATCTAGCTGTGTAAACTCAGCTCAACTGACCAATTTCAGTGCATGGCTTCACTTGACAGCTTTAGTGTCAAACACACTGTTAATTAACACCAATAACCTTAGCTTTAGGTCGTAAATAATTTGTGTATTTCAAAGTTGTTTTAAAAATAACTTGGGTTACTTCCCCTTTTTTGTCAATTCACAATATACTCCTTAAACTTATGTTTTTTTTTTTTGTAAAAAGATTAAATCTAAAATGAATTGAATGCACAAACATATCAGAATAATACTTTTACTTATTGTTCTACCTTAGAACAATTAAAAAATAAAAATTTTGAAAATTACTTTTTTCATCTATACCTCCTTTAATTGTTTAACTTTATTTTATTATTCTCTAATATCAACTTCTAAGTGTTTTGCTGTTTAAAAGCTGCACAAATGTATGTAAAGGAAAGAATACGAACAGGAATTAAGGCAATATAACACAAATCGGCCTCCAGGTGCAATGAAATAATAATATGTACAATTTTAAATTACTTAACCATGTGGACATGTTTTGGAAACTTTTATATAAATTATAAGAAAAATGTCCCCTAAATACTGAAATTCAGCTCGAAAAAGTTCGTACGCGTTATGACCTGAGATTTCATTCTTTTATGCAGGTCATCACCTGCATTTTCATTGTCATAGGTTGACAGGTATGCCAGAGACCGAAGAATGATGACGTAACCTATCTCCAGAACTATCAGAATAAACTGTCATAAAACTATTCTTCACTTTTCTAGAACAAGGTAGTTTATATCCTATAACGGTTCAATGATAGAAATCTCATAATCAGTTCTAAGAGTGTCAGAAGAACCGTTCTATGGTTTCAGAGCTCCTCATAACGTTGACAAATAATGTTTTCATTTTGAAGCTATATTAGAGCCTTGGCCATATTTTTACATGTCATTTTTTATCAGTTCAATTTTAAAACATCCCACAGAATACTGGAAGTAAAAGTTTCAAAAATTTAAAGCATTTTAATTTACGGACTTTTTTGGTTATTGAATTTAGATCATTGGAATTCCTAATTAGATAGTAAACTTCAATTATTTTGAAACTCGAATATCATATACACATATGACAGGTCTAACGGGTCAACGGAAGGACGTTTTGAAACAGAGTCAAAAACATATCGAACATGAATCGATTTATTGTCCTTCGAATAGGGTCTTCTGTTTGCCGGAGTGAAATTTATAAATAAAAAATACGTTCAGTCAAAATAGGGACGTTAGCCGATCTAATGCATCGTGTAGAGATATCCAACATACATGTATCCTTCTTTCTCATGTTTATCCCGGTCAAAGTACTTTGTAGTACCTACCAATTTGGCCTTAAATTCCGAACATTCTTTGGTTTGCCCAAAAAGTAGATTTTTTATACCATTTTAGATAAAGTTTCTACTTCTTTTGAATTTACCCTTTTAAAGTTATTTTACAATGAAATGACAATTAATGTAGGAAAAGAAGAAATATTTAATGAAATCTTTAACTCATGATAAGAATAGAAAAAAAAAGAAATTAATTTACGATTTTGACAAATATTGCCTGAAAATTAAAATAACAGTTCGCAAAAATGGATGCGCTTTTTAATTTAAATTCATCAGGAATTCTCAAAACCAAACACTTGAAAGTCAAGAATGTATACATGTTTGACAAAAAAAAATAGTATGTCGTATTTCATTCACATTGAAGATAATCTATCACAATGTAAACATTGTTGAAGAAATATCCCTGCCTGTTTTTCCGATTTTCATGTTTGCCGTCTTAGAGATGAGGACTTGGAATATGAAACAGCGGAAGTTTTAAATTCTATACGCATTAGACATTTTCTTATGAAACTTAAACGCGATGCTAATCTTGGTGTAAGAAAGCTTTCTTCACATTTTGGTTATAGCATTGTATTAATTGTTTGGAATTATGAGAGGGTGTTCTTTGAAAAAAATCGCTAATTTTTATATAATATATTTCAGAATTTAGAATATCAAGGCTCCCAACTTCGTACTTTATTTGACCTTTTAACTTTTTTGATTCGAGCGTCACTGATGCGTTTGTGGAGCAGCAGGGTCTGCTTACCCTTCCGGAGAACCTGAAATCAATCCGGTTTTCGGCGGGGTTCGTGGTGCTCAGGTTTTAGTTTTCTATGTTGTGTTTTGTATACTGCTGTTTGTCTAAATATATATGGTCATTTTTCTTTTGCCATGGCAATTGTCAGTTTGTTTTCGACTCATGAGTTTGAGTATCCCTTTGGTATCTTTCATCTTTTTTATAAGACTTCAGTGGTTTTTTCTTTGTCAATTGATTGTACATTTAGGTTGATTTATTCTTAAGGTTTCAGATGGATAGTCTAAGTTATTCATCGTAAAAACCGTATCTTTTGCACAAATATATTTTTTTAATATTCATCAAAAAGATACGAATTGAATAATATTCCTATATAAAGCAAGCTGATAAACCCCAAAGGGGATAATGGAGACTTACATCTGCGGGAAAATATAATTCCATTGATGTAGGGAATTTAAATCATACAAGATTCAATTTAAAGTAGGATATCTGATGGTCTCTCTTATAAATTGTGAAACTTCATTGTCATCTTATAAATAAAGTAGCAGTAGTAGGAATAAATGATTTCATTCGCGCCAAAGTTAGATCAATATCAATTTGAACAACTTCAAAATCATGATGAAGACTTTCATCAATAATTTACATACTTTTATTCAAATGAGTGGAAGCTATTAACGGCGAGAATTTTATCTCATTTTCCCACGCTCACGCGGTAAGCAACGATGTAGCGCATAATCCATGTATTTTAGTTCTAGAAAAGATCTGGTTTTCTCTTTCGATTTAGTTTTTTTAACAATATACACTGTAAACCAAGGGGATCTGGGATTTTCTCTTCTTTGCATGTTTCTTTGACAGAGGGTAAAATCCTCCAATAGGTCAGAGTTCAATATGACTGTGAAAACTTCTAAGGCAACTTTTTTTCAACTTTTACATCGATTTTTTTACGTTTCTTGTTTTCTTTTGGCAAAATATATTCATTATTATATTTTCATGATCAACGTCAATAAATAATGTGGTAACAACCCAACGACAAAAATACCAGGAGATAATTTGAAGTCAGCATCAAACGACAAGTGTCTACCTATGATAGATATAAGAAGATGTGGTATGAGTGCCTTTGTATGATGCATGTTTTCAGTTCCCACGAGTTTTGAAATTTTCTAAAGGTTATCAAGTATCTGCCATCGATACTAAAACATTCATAAATGACACAAAACACAAA